TCCGAAGTCGTAGCTGTCTAGTTTCCTCTTCTGTAATGCATGTTTCTGCGCTGCCATTTACTTCCGCCAGTTTCGAGTTGTCATCCGACGACACAGGCTGGATAAGTTCTTGTTTTGTGGCAAAGAATGGAACTCCCAACGCTTTAAGCTCCGAATGAAGAGCCTTGGACATTTCCACTGATGCTTTGTAGACTTTCTCGTCATAGCGTTTGATCTCTAGTTCGTCTTCTGCCGGTTTCTGCTCTTTGGTTACTTTTCGGGTCTATAAAACATCAACCACAAAGCTACTTACTGCTTCGTGTGGTTGCTCTGTAACCTTGCCACCCACGGCTCGCCTGATAGAAACGTATTAGCTTAATGTGAATAAATGAATACATCCATATAACGGAGCCGGAAGGACGGATCATACAATACTTCGTCTAGCTTCTTCTGATTTCCTGCTCGAGCTTTTTGCTTTGCTAGAAGTGTCTGCCGTCCTTGCCACCAACTCCTCTCATGCTCGTGTTGTGAGGCAATCAGCCGTCGAATCCGATATTGAACGGTTTCATTCTGAGCAACGGTTTTCATCACGTATTTGATAGCTGCGGGCCATGTCGTGATGGTGGATGGATCAACTGAGCCCTTGCCCTGGGGTCCGGATCTTGACTCCTGTCCATTCAACAAGAGAACAGAGTTCGCTTGGAAGGGTGTGTGTGTCCTATTAGTATTATCAAGGCGACGGTCACTTGCTGGCTGTGATGTGCTGTTTGTTTGAGGTTGGCCTGGTTGTGGAGTGTTAAATGAAGAGAGCGTTTTTAAGACGGCAGCGAGATCAGGTGTCCCATTGCTTTGAGATTCCATGATCAACAACTATCAAGCACCAGACACCATGCTTTTCCAAGGGTATCAATAAGACCTCAAAGCCGCATCATTCACCCTTCGTCGAAAGGGCAGTTGGTAACTAATAGGATATCAAAGCGTAAATACAGCAGGTTTATAACTTTATCACATATGATTGAGGGCGTATCTCCCAGCTATTGAGCATCTTTTATTGTTCGACAAGTATTAATAGAGAATCGTTCGGTAGCAAAAAACCGTTCATGAGCAGTTGATTCAACCTCCAAGACTTACATAAGCAGTGCCAAGGCCGTTCCTGGCCTTTTGCCTCTTTGAGCTTTATCTGAAGCTTTTCAAGACGTTATTTTTATTTTTTGTAGTTGTTTGAGCTTCAGTTGACGGGCCTTTGCAGGATAAAAGGCAGTGGCCGGCATACACAAACGGGCCTGCGCTGGTTGCTTCTGGCTTCATCTGGGATGTAGGAGGCATGGGCGTCCGTGTTCTTTCCCAAGCCTAAACCCGAAGAGCAAGGGGGTCCCTTGGCTCCTTTCCGACCTTCACCCTTTGATGAGCTTCGTTCGCTATAATACGCCTACTAAAAGGATTTCTGCTGTATCTTGACGATTACCGGCTGAGAAGGGTATAGTGCTCATGCTAAGCCAGCCTACTAAACGCTCCCGGGAGGAGAAAGAGGCGGATGAAGCCTCTGAGACCGAGCTGACGTTGAGGAAGAAGGTTTGAACAAACCCCTTTTGACATCCTATATCTCTTTTCGGGTGCTGACGTATAGTGCAGAGAATCAAGCCCCTATGCCTTCGTCCCTTGGCCCAACAGGCTCAACCCCATGGCTTCACAGCTTTGCCTCTGACTCCGACAGCCGCAGAAGAGCATCTAAGCGAGAGTGACCTCTCCGAGGAGTCTGGTAAACTGGCATCCAATGGAGGAGACAAATTACATTTCCCTGCTTTGCTCTCGCCTGATAACCAGGTGTATACTGAGACGGATGCCGACATGGAGATGACAGATTGCCTGTCTACGGCCTCTTCTAGCAATCCTGCCTGGCCTGCCTGCTTTCCTCACACAGAATGCCGTGACGTTAACTTACATTCTTTGGATTTGTCCCGTGCTATTATCAACAAGCTTGATTCCACCGAAGTAGACCAATGTTCTGCACCGTCAATACATCCCCATTCGTTAGCCAATACGATGGTTTCCCAAACACATATCGATGCCCCCTCGGTGGCTCCTGTTGATAAATTCAGTACCCCACAACCGGATGCCATATACCCATCAGACTGCCGCCTTCCTAGCCCTATTAGCGAGTATCAAGACGAATCAAAGAGCCACACCGGCACATCTGCGGTAACTACCCCTCAATTTGGTCACCACGTCGAGGATCCAAGTATAAATCCTGATATAATTCGTTGCAACCCTACTTCTTTGGAATCTATAAACATGCAAGCAACACACCCGGCATCCTACTTTTCCATCACGCGCCGGGAAGACGGCACCCTCGCGGATGGCCCTGAGAACACAATCACACCTGTCTCACCCTTGGCAACTAAGTCTCCGAAGAAGGCAATCATTGCTATGGGATTCCGAGCTGACTGCGACAGATGCCAACGCAGAGAGCCCGGCCACTATAGCCATATCGTCTACGCCTAAAGTACGCGAAGCAACTAAGCTGGGCCGCCATTAATTATACTTTAAATGGATAGGCCATCTAAGACGCCTTGAGCTTGCGCCGATTGATTAATGCCCGCTTTATTTATTTTCTTTCCTCACCTGACGGCTTTTCCTTTTCTTCCCTACAAAGATACCCTCTTTCTCCCTTATTCTGCATACGAATCAACTGCCTTAAATTTGTACTGGTTTCCTTGAAATGAGGGAGGACTGGCTCCTTACCTTCACCTCCTGTATACTTTTTGGGGCTGTAAACTGTACGTTAGGGGTAGGCCTTGTACCTAGGATTGTTAAAACCAATTCCAATAATTCTTGTCTGTAAATTCAAACGTCCGAAATAAACTTTCTCCAGATAATATCACGTGCTTAACCTTGGCATAAAAGTCCTTTTCGATTCAAGATGGATTTGTTCGAACTGGGATAAATTGCAGCAGCTATCGCAACGCATACATTAGCACAATGCCATCATCAAGGCGCCTGCTGCGGTCGTTGGAGGCCCTGCCGTCGCAGTTAACTGGCTCTCGGTACGTCTGTACGAATTGTCGCTGGCAATCGCTTCCACGAACCCGAAATTTGATCTCGATTCCCTCTCGTCGATACAACTCCTCCGACAATCTTCCATTCAGCGAAAAAGTACGACGGAAGCTATGGGGCACAGACAATCCTCCAGGCTTAAAGGATCCGTACGGAGGGGAAAGCATGCTGGAGAGAAGAGCTCGCGAGCTCAGAGAATCTAGGGAAGAAGTCAAGGAGTCCGAGCCGCAAGAGACTTCAGATGAATATGCCCAGGTCGTGGAGGAAGGAAATTCTGAGCCAATGGGAGATTATACCCCTGCAGCGACGTGGGATGGATTAGAACATGTTGGATCGTTGGGAGAATGGTGGGAGAAACCAGCAACCGAGGTGGATAGATTTGATGCGTAAGTTATGCTCTCGACTTTTTCATTTTCACTGGAATTTAGAAGGCAATGGTTAATGGAATTGTGAGGCTACAGATTCATGCGAAGAGAAAAGATTACGAACGATGATGATATCTTAGCAGTTTTGCACCAGGCTATGGTCGAATTGAGTATCTTGAAGAGCTC